TTTTTAAAAACAATTTTGACAAAAAATTAATATGATGAACTAGAGTTTATAAAACATTACCAAAAATTACCATGTTCATCATACAATATTTTTCAACATACATGAGATAAAACACAATTCAACATTTTAAAACCTCATGCATGCATAAACTAAATGAGCAACCAAATAATAAAAAAATTAAGTTTAGAGGTTACCCATTCCCTTTTTATGTGTGTCTAGAGCATCTTGAATATCATCTTCTTTATCACCATTGCTCTCACACACCTACAAGAGACATTTAAGTAGATTTTGGTATCCAAATTGCTTTGGATCCTTGAACGTTAGTTTCAATGCCTCTTGTTCCTTTTGGAACCCATACTTGTGTAATTTTAAATCGTTTTCCTTTCTTTAAAGGACAAGTATGGTCCTTATGACCATGATAATGACAATGTGAACATATTGTCATTATTGAACTAGATGAATTATTTAGAATGATCTCTTTTTCTCTTGTTAAACATTCAAGCTTATCTTTCAAATTGAAATTTTCTTTTTCAATACTTTCAAATTTCATTTTTGAGAGTTCTAAATCCTTCTTCAATATTTCATTTTGATTTTCAAAATCCATTTTCATTTCTAGAAGAAGTTTGTTTAATTTGAATTTTTGAGAGTTCTAAATCCTTCTTCAAGATTTCATTTTGATTTTCAAAATCCATTTTCATTTCTAGAAGAAGTTTGTTTAATTTGAAAATTTCTTTTTCAAAGTTTTCAGATTTTATTTTTGAAAGCTCTAATTCTTTTCTCAACATTTCATTTTGATTTTCTAAGTCTGTTTTAGCTTTCAAAAGAATATCATTTTTAGCAATAAATTTAGAAATCAATTTATTGTATTTGGAGTTCATGGTCTCAAACTCCGAAAATAATTTATCATAAGCATCTTGTAACTCATTAAAAGATTTTGAATTTGATATATTTGAGTTAGAAGATACCTTTGGCTCTGTGAGAGCTAATAGAGACATCACTCTTATTGGTTCTTCTTCTTCCTTGTCTCTATAGATCTCCTCAAGCTTATCCCATATTTCCTTGGCACTTGAACAAGAAGAAACTCCTTTATATACATTAGGATCAATTGCACAACACAACATGTGCATAGCCTTTGAGTTTTGTTGAGCTTCCTTCCGTTCTTAAACACTCCACTTCTTTGCCTTCTTAGTAGGAGAGGAATATCATTTCTTGATTATCATCCAAGCTTCCATATCAAATGCTTTGATGAATATCATCATAAAACTCTTCCAATGACGATAATTTGTTCCATTAAAGTGTGGAGGCATGTCAATAGGTCTGGATTCTTCCATGGAGAATGAACCGGAAGTAAACGCCATCTTTATCGATTTAACTCTTCCCGGATCGACTCAAGAGGCGATTAAACCTTCAAATGAGTGAGGCTCTGATACCAATTGTTGAGTTAATCGATTGACTGAATCGGCCAAGAGGGGGGGTGAATTGACAATAAAAATTTTGGTGGAAGCTTTTGCAGGAAATTGAAAGAAATTGCACAGCGATTTAGAGTGGTTCGACTTTATCACCCAAAGTCTACGTCCACTACCTTAGCTATCCACACTAAGGATTTTCCAACAAATTCACTAATTTGTTCTTTCTTTTGAGGCCAAAGAGATAACCTTACAACTCCCTCAAGAATATACCCCAATTCTTGAGAACACTCTTTTCTCAAAGAGAAATACAAATTTGCAAACTTACAAGAAAAATCTCACAAGGCAAATATGTTTGCACAATTCTAGAACAAAGAAAGAACACTCAAGAATAAATACAATTGAGCACAATAAGTGTTATTGAAAGAAAAATGAATATTGAATGAAAAATAGGCTTGAAATGCTCAAACTTGAGGTTTGATGCTTTCTCTTTGATTCTCTCTTGATTCTAGTTGCTTGATGTTTCTTGTTATTGATCAATGACTTCTAAGCTTGCTTAAATACACTTTGAATCACTTCTGAACGTTGGGGATCATTAATGAAGTTTTTGGAGCTGTTTAAGTGTGAAAACAATTAATATTTCTGCTTGGAGCGTGGGGGGAATCGGTACCCCTAATGGGGAATCGGTTCCCTAAGTGTAAAATTCAAATATTTTGACTGTTGAACAGTGGGGGGAATCGGTACCCTCTGGGGGGAATCAATTCCCTTCGAGCATACTGGAATTCTCGGAGCCAAACCATTCAGGGGGGAATCGGTACCCCCTTAGGGGGGAATCGGTTCCGGGGAATCGATTCCCTCTGGAAAAACTGTAATTTTTGGCTTTGAAACGGTTCGAAATACTTTGTAAAATTGTTTTGAAATTATTTTAAGATTAAAACTTAATTTTACACTTGAGTAAGGATTAAAAATGACTTTTAAAAGATTTGGAGTAATATTTTGATATTCGAATAATTATATCGAATATACTTAGAAAACCTTATTGGAAAATCTTAAAATTCATTTATCTTAATTTGTTATAACGAAATATCAAAATGTTTTCAACAGATACTACTATGATCTGATGGTCGATATTTTAGAAAATATCAATACTTTTAGAGTAAGTATGAATACATTATTATTATGAATACATTATTATTAACTTTTAGAGTATTCGTACTTTTAGAGTAAGTATTCATACTTTCAAATTTTTTTAAAAAATTATTTCAAACGGTTAAGTTGTATATATTTTACCGTTTACATTACTGTCGAAATAGTATCCATACTTTTAGAGTAAGTATAGATACATTATTATTAACCTTTACAGTGTCCATACTTTTATAGTAAGTATTCATACTTTCGAATTTTAAAAAAATATTTCAAACAATTAAGTTGTATATATTTTACCATTTACATTATTATTAACCTTTAAACAAACAAGTAGCTAGTTTAACGTAATAGGTAACACTTATTTAACGTAATAGGTAGTGCTTATTTAACATAATAGGTAGCGCCTATTTTATTTTACCGATTACATTATTAATAACCTTTAAACAAACCGGTAGATATTTTAACGTAATAGATAGCGCCTTTTTATTTTGCCGTTTACATTATTAATAACCTTCAAACAAATCGGTAGATAGTTTGATATAATAGGTAACACTTATTTAACGTAATAGGTAGCACCTATTTAACATAATAGGCAACGTTTATTTTATTTTATTGTTTACATTATTAGTAACCTTTAAACAAACCAGTAGGTATTTGAATATAATAAGTAGCACCTATTTTATTTTACTGTTTACATTATTAGTAACCTTCAAACAAACCAGTATGTAATTTAACATAATAGGTAGCGTTTATTTAACGTAATATGTAATACCTATTTAACATAATAGGTAGCGCCTATTTTATTTTACCGTTTACATTATTAGTAACCTTTAAACAAACCGGTAGGTATTTTAACGTAATGGGTAGCACCTATTTTATTTTACCGTTTACATTATTAGTATCCTTCAAACAAACCGGTAGGTAGTTTAACATAATAGGTGGCGTTTATTTAACGTAATAGGTAGCGTCTATTTAACATAATAGGTAACACCTATTTTATTTTACCGTTTACATTATTAGTAACCTTTAAACAAACTGGTATGTATTTTAACGTAATAGGTAGCACCTCTTTTATTTTACCATTTACATTATTAGTAACCTTCAAACAAAATAGTAGATAGTTTAACATAATAGGTAGCGCCTATTTTATTTTAACCGATTAGGTTTTAAATAAAAGTATCAATACATACAATATATGCATGAATACTTTTTCAGGACAATAGTTGAACATAGCTTACAGTCGAAACAATATTCATATTTTTAGAGTAAGTATGAATACAGAAGCTATGCAATTTATGTTTCAAAATTTTTAATAGTTCTTCATGTTTTTCACATACAATATTAATTTAATAATTTCAGTTACACAAAAAAATGATTTGATTATTTAGATTTTTATAAAATATTATTTATAATTTAAATTTAACATTTTTAACTAAATATAATAATAAATATGTAATATATATGTTTATTATTTTTAATTTAATAATAATATATACCGTAACATAAAAATAATTCATTAGATGCTTATAATTATTAAATTAATTCTTAAAACTCACTCAAAAGGTAACCCTAAATTAATGTTTTCCACATTAAAGTAAGTATATTTACTTATATATGTATTAATACCTAGCGATAACCAAAGTTTATTAGTTCCAAATTTTTTTAATAGTTCTTCATGTTTTCCACCTACAACATTATAAGTCTGTCAACATTTCCGGTAGCATTTTACCAAATTTATTAATTATCTTATTAAATTTTCGATCACGGCGTTTATTAACCATATATTAATCTACCTCTCACGTGACAAATCCCATTTGCACTGCCAGTTAGATATTTTAAAAAGTCCAGCTAGATAGATGGACCCCCCATCCTCTTCCTCCCTCGCCGGAACCATCATTTCTTAAATTCATCGAATTCAGTTGCCTTTTGTCAATTTTTGTATCCAATCTAACCGATTCAATTTATAATATAATTATTAGTATCTAATTTATTAATTATAAATTAAATATTATAAAAATTTAATATTATATAAACTCATTTAATAAGATTTAAATTTGTGATCTTATTTTTAAAATATATAATATCTCATCTAAGTAAACCAATTAATTATTGATATAATTATATTTTTACCATCTAAAATTTTATAAATTCACTTCTCTAATATTAATTTTTACATCCATTCTTATTTCTATATATATATATATAATATATCAAATCACCATAATTTCTCAAGAAATTTTACTATTGAATTCATAAATTTTATGTTATAATAATTTCAATACTAAAAAAACTAAGTTTGGCACGATACAGATGAGCTTAAGATTTGGCTTTTCAGCAAAACAAAAGTTTATATGACATCAAGTATTATCAACCTTTTTCTTCCTAAAAAGGGGTGAATGAGGCCAAGGACCCTCCAAATGCAGTTAATAAGTCAGCTGCAAAGGCATGTCTACCAAGTTATCTTGTTCCAATGCTTAACTTTTCTTCAAAAGTAAACCGTATATGACCCCAAGGACCCTCCAAATACAGGGGAAAACTTATTAAAAAGTTGAATATATCAGCGTCCAACATACGCCCATATCCGACACTTGCATCTGAAACTTAATAACATAGCCAACAAGCACTGAAACCATCACAACATGCAGAGAGACAAAAAGCCCCTAAACAAGGTTTCTTCTACTACTTCGCAACCAACCGGAGCATAGAAACATTTAATATAATGAAGCACATCACATTCACATCACATAGAATATGAACATACCCAGTCATCATAGAAGAAACCAACAATTTTGAGAGAGGTTCCCATAGTGCCTCGATGAAGACTTGAAACCTATCAGAAGGAAACCTAACATGCCCGATATAGTCCTTTTCATGGCATCCACGGTTGTAGGGGATACATCTTCTTGGATAAGGCTAACATCCAATGGTTCTATCTCATGTATCAGATTGGTACGGACAGATTTCTGAAAGAAAAATTGCTAAAGCTCAATTACTCAAATTTTAAATCATAAGCCTAAAATGATCAAACTCGATCCAAATCCCGCAATCCATAAAAAACAGTAACTCACCAGAATTGAAACTTGTTTTAGGAAAGGCTTACCTTAGGAGTGGGATTGGAACCCAGCCCATCGTGGAAAGGAGAGGGATCGGGATTAGAGGGAGAGAAAGCGAGGAGAGGAGTTATGCGGGATTTTGTAAGGTTGGTATGGGAGAAAGAGCGGAAAGGAGAGATGGAAAGAGAGGGAGGGAAGAGGTTGGGGTTTGGAACAATGGGACGTGTTTGGGAAGAAAAGAAAGGGGGAAGGGAAAAAGAGGAAAGAGGGGCGGCCACATAGATTAAGATTTCGCCACCGCGGCTCTTCCTATCTTTCGCTCTTTCTCCGCCAATTGGGATACTTTTCTTTGTTCCTTTCCATCCGGCAGCCACCAGTTATTTAGAAACGGAAAATAGGTGGGGATCAAGGTAACGTAACACCGTGTCAAGCTTACTTTAGACATGACGTGGCTTATTTCTCACGTTTCTCTTTTTCCCCTTTAACATAATAAAAAAATATTTTCCTCTTACAATTTGTGGGATTCATTCAATTTTTTTTATTAATAAAATTCGTTGTCATGTTAAAGTTTTTTTAAATTCAAATATACCTAAAATAATTATGAAAAAACTTATCGATATAATACTCCTTCACAATTGATTTTTAGTATAATTTTCATTCAACAAAAAAAAATTTAAAAAAAATTAATGTATATATGAAGATTTGACGAGAAGAAAACAAGAACTATATAACACATTAAATTATAAAACACTTCTTCAACATATAAACACATGAATCACAATTGAATGGCTACATAGAACAATTCATTACTTAAAATTCTAAAATACATTATATCAATTTAAATTTGACATATTAACAAGAATTATGAACCAGATTAACAATTTAGACTAACTAGTAAGATTGTAAAAGTAAATGAAGTAGACTATATAAATGTCAAATTTGAGCAAGCTGTAAATTGAATAAATATTCTAGTGAAACCTGTAAGAAAAATCTTTAATAGCAAGTCGCAGTCGCAGTCGAAGATCGACACAAGTGACAACAATATTTCCGGTGAAATCTTCCTTCGATAGTTACTGCTTCCATTGATTTCTATCAGCACGATCTCATTGCTTCAAAGCACTTCACCACAATCATTAGGTTAATCATAGCTTTGTTGATGACAATTGTTACCATGTATAGAATAAGAAAGAAGAGATTTGAGGAACTATGAGAAGAAATGAATTGATTCCATGCTAAAGGTAGCTGAATTATTCTAGTGTTACTACCATTTCAAAACTGACTTGAAATTGGTATTGCGTCGTAAAGAGAAACTAACAAAATTCAACATAAACATGGGTATTTGCTTCACTTTAGCCCCTGTATTCATTTCCCCTTCTGATGACCGAGAATCTCACAACTTTGATTTATCCAGATAAAACTTTTACAGTAATTTGCCTATTACTTATACATCAAAAAGAAATCAAGCAGTGGATTCATCGCCCACCGTCCCACCCAGAGAAGAATCAACTAGAAAAATTGAAACCAATAATAGAGAATTCCTACCCAATGTAATGACCAATTACAGTGCAGAGATGAAACCTAAAACAGGTGATCCCCTCAAGGCTTAGCATTGAGCCAAACATCAAAAAAAAAAAAAAGGATTCTGAATTCTTCTGTCTAATCATCATCCTCGGAGTCTGCATTTCAATAAAAAAACACATCAAAATAAATAAAAACAACTCTATGTTAATTAGAGAGGAAGTGTTTTAATGGCTAATTCGGAACAAATGCCTCAAGAGTTGGCAAATTAGACAAGCAGAATTTGGAAACTTTTAATTTTGTAATTCAAAGAGATTTATTTCGGTTACTTACTTTAAAAGCCTAAACATTTCAAGTCAAGCTGGCAACATGGGTTACAAAGTCAAGCAGCAGGTCTTCTTCCTATTAAGTCAAGTCAAACTATTGTAATTTATCATCTTTTTAGTGGAACTTAGATGATGTCACCAGACGCAATTCGAATGCTGCTCTTTTATATTGTAACAAATAATTAGTATTTATCTAAGGTGCTTTAATACCATCTTGCTATCAAGAATTTTCAAAATTCCAATGCTTTCATGTTTCTGACCTCTTTTCTTCTACGACTTATTTTTCAGGGAGATAGAGAAGTTTTAACAGTTCCTTGTAACAAATAACAACAGAAAAGAGAAGTTTTACAATTTCCAAAGAACAAAATGATAAAGGTTCAGACAATCTCCAAACACCCAAATATCACAGAGCGAGAGACAAAATGATTCCCCCCCCCCCTCCATTAGTGTTATTTGGTGGTGGGGGATAGAAAAAGACTTACCAGATCTAATGTCTTCTCCAACTTTTCCTCTATTTTTCAATTGTCTCGTGATCATTGAGCAAATGAGAAACCACCAGTAGACATGGAACACAAGTAGCATCAGCAACATGGTATTGAAAACATAGTACAGGGATGTGGGATATGACTTTGAAAGATCTAAAAACTCCCGAACATCATAGCTGAGAGAGATAAACCACAGGAGTGGATACATGATCAACCAATGTGCAGTAATGTAGCAAAATCAAATTATTAACTATAAAGACCAAACCTTGAGCTTTTAATGACCCAAAATGGAAATAGTATCAAACGTAGCAGGAGCCAAGAAATGGCAAATAATCCAAAGCACACACTTGCTCCAAGCTCCCACTCGGAATACTTGAAAACTTTAGCCCCTTCCAAAAACACATCACTTGCATCATGTAGGGCAAGGATAATTGAACCAATGCGGAAAAAGCTGCAAAAAAGGTAAACTATAATCATCTTCCAACTTGGATATCCACAAGTAAATATAATTGATAAAATTAACTCGTACCAGGAAAACTTTAAAATACTCGATGGCTATGTTCTCCCTCGAAGAACTCTGTTATACTCCTATATTCTGATGTCAACATCTATTCCTAAAGAACTTGCTAGCAATACCTCTCTTTGAATTCAGTCAACAATTAGATAATGACAACTTCCTAACTAGCAACAGTAAACAATTCTGATGTCAGCATCTATTTCTAAACAACTGACTAGAAATACCTCTCTTTGACTTCAGTCAACAATTAGATGATGACAACTTCATAACTAACACCAGTAAATAAAATGCAGAGAGGAGAGGATATGACATCATCAAAGCAATGAAGAACACAAACTGCAGAATGAAAAACAGTTGCATTTTCACCAGAGTTGATGAAAAAGTTGAAATGTTGCACAATATTTAAAAAATTGGCATAAACTTTCTTCTTATATGAAATAGCAAAGCTTCCAGGTTGTCTTTTGTAAAAACTACTAATTATCCAAAAGATGGCAATGCGCCAAAATATTTTATACCATACCAGTCAACAGTGGCATGTAACAATTTGACCATGTGCTACATGAGCTACTGTATGCACCGTATATGCATACATAAAGAGAACATACTTTAGAGTATATGTATCATGCAATTTGGGGATAAAATGAATATTTTCCCTGTTCGTATGTGGTAATGACGGTGCACATCCACAGAAATGGGCAAATTACCTTCCAATGTATGAGTATCCTATCAGCATTACAGTAATTACATGATGAGATATCATCACAGAAAAATCCTTCCTTCGAGTCTCCCAAGCAAGTAGTGCAGCAATGCTATAGATGTAGAACCCACATTGGCACATGTAGAAAAGGCTTAGGGAAAGCCTGAACAAAAAGAAAAAAAAAAGTTAGCTTTCAAAAAGGTTGCCAGAAGGTATAACAAAGCCCAACCCTTCCACGATTCAAGACCCAGCAATTAAAGAAGGAAATTTAAAGAGAAAGAACATGTGTCGGGGCATGTATAAAGAAAGCCACATTTTTCAACTAAAATACTGATAAAGCAGATATTTTCCTTGAAAGTGGAATAACATTCCATGAGAGATTGTTTTCTCTTAAGATGGTGACTAGCATGATACTCCAAAGTCAAGATTGATACATGCAGTTGAAAGAGAAAATGGGATCATTTAGACCCGACACCAATGAGAACTAAATGATCAAGTAGAAGTACAATAAAACAAGTCAAAAGACTTGTCTGCATATAATAAGAACAAGTTTAGTATAGTTTACTTTCTAATAGTGAAGAAAAAAGGTACAAATGAGCTGAACTTTAGACAAGAGTGACCACAACAACAAGAACTCAACAATAACAATCAGATATTGGATGCAAATCTGTTTTCAACTACATCAATACAAGAATTACTAAGCATTCACTGTAGCTTGACAAAGTGGTACACATGAATGAGTATCATCTTTTCTTTACAAACATGTCTGTAATTAATTTCAAAGTAAAGAAAAGGTAAACTTTTGAGAAGTAAAATGCAGACTATAAATGTCTATAAAAATAACTAATGGTTTCAGTTAAGCAAAAGGAAAATAGGACGAAATTTTTTTCCTTTTCCTTTCAGTATACAGAAGTCTTTCCAACCACTAAATACAAGAACAAGAGATGACTTGTCCCATCTCTTAAGGAATAATCAGACAGGAAAAGAGATTTTATATAATGTAATTTTAGAGATCAGATACACAGATCCTTGACATCCAAGATGAACATTAACTTTCTGTCAGTTAATAAAAAAAGACAATTCACCTCATAAAGAGTGCATGTAACTGCATACTTGCCAAATATGAGATTGAAACAATTCGGTATAAGTCTACAAACAAGGTTACTCACTTCAACTCTTGATCTGGCCAGCCCCTGAAATACTCTTTTGTATCTGTGAACCATGGCTCCTTATAGGTTATTTTCAGAACAAATGTTTCAACAGTAGCATAGTATGCCAGCTTCCACAAAGATTCTGAGCATTTCACAACTTTTGCTCTTGTGGCATCATTCATCTTCAAAGGAGCAGATCCATTACACAACATCCAGGTGGCCAACCTCTAAATGCACACAAAGAAAAATTAAAATGTATTAACAAAAGATGAAGTGTTTCATGTACCCACTTTTAAGTGCTTGCACTAGCATGTAATATAGATATGAAATTGGAACAATTAAAGGGAGGATTTGATCGACAGTGTGTTACCACCAATGCCATAAATATGGCAACAGGTTTTCTTAAACTTTAGATAAGTAACATAAGGCATCAACACTCGGCCCCACACATTTCTCGTGATGATGCCTTATGTTACTTCTCTAAAGTTTAAGAAAACCTGTTGCCATTGAGGACAAAAAACAAATTCTCTAAAGTTTTTCATAATCCAATGCATCAAAAACAAACTTAACATCACTTCAATTAACTAACAAGCATATGCTTCTTCCACGATCTTCAACAAACTTTCAAGAGTTGAGGACAAATTCTCTAAATCAAACAATTTAATGAAAAAGTTAATTCTTCCATGT